TGTGTCTCCACTCTCTCTATTCAAACCTCCACTTCTCTATATACAGGCATCTCATCCACTAGATTTAGATTCCATCTCTTTGATGATGGCTCCTGAACTTTTATCTCTTGCCTGGCGGTTGGGCTTTTTTGACACTGGGTACTACATCAGACTGTGTACTTGGTGAACATCTCCACTTCAAGTCTAAGAGCCATCTCAAACTTAGTGGTACCCAAATGGAAATATCAGCTGAGGCAGGAGGATCTCAAGTTCAAAGCCAGCCTCAGAAACTTAGTGAGGCCCTAAGCAATTTAGCAAGACCCTGTCTCAAAATAAAAAAATTTAAAAAGGCTGAGGATGTGGCTCAGTGGTTAAGTGCCCTGGGCTCAATCCCTGGTACCAAAAAGAAAAAAATAAAATAAAAATCTTGCTTGTGTTTGCTCTCCCAGTCTTCCCCATTTCAGCAAGAGAACCACCATCTACCCAAATGCTCAAGCCAGAAATGTCATTTACCCTACATTCTTTCTCCCTATACCCCCAAATTCAATGTCAAGCCTGTCCATTCTGCCTCTAATGTACATCTCACACCTACCTGCTCCTCTCCATGTACCTGCTTCACCTCCTCTTCACCTGTTCCAACTGCATCTTTACTACACCCCCCCCAATTCCACACCTGCCACTCTCCCCTCCCTTCCCCATCAATGCAATCTCCTTTAAACTTAAGTTAGGGTGGTCACTTCCACTATGAACTTTCAATGGCTTCTCACTATGCTATAAAAGAAATCCAAACCTTTTCAAGGCCCACAGAGGGCTGCATGATCATCTCATGCTGCCCTCTCTCCCACCACCTTGTCTTTATGCCTCTTTTAGCCCCACCCCATGCCCCCTATAAAAGCCAAAGTCATTCTGAACAGGCCCTCCTCTGCCTAGCTCCATGGGTCTTCTCCCAACCCCACTCCTAAAAGAAGGCTTTGCAGGCTACTCTGTTGAGGTCATTGTTCCTTGTGGTCTTCACCAGAGCACTTATCACAAATTGCAATATATATTTCTTTACATGCTTGCCCCTGGACTCTGAAGTGTGGAAGTGGGTAGAGAGATGACTGTATCTCAGTTATCAACAGATTCCCAGACCCTTAATATAGTGCCTAGCAAATAGTAGGTGCTCAATAAGTACCTGCTGAATGTATAATGAATAAACCACGGTTTCTTATGGCATGAAAAGAACTATTACCTCATTCTGTGGGCCCAGAATTATCACTGCCGTTTAAGCACACAGATTCTTTTTTCTCTTCCTCCATTATTAAAAAAAAAAAAAAAAAAACTTAATGTTGATAAACCAAAGGCCCAAATAGCTCAATATATCCCATCTCATTCCTAGTTTACTGTCCTCCACAAGGGGAAAAAAAAACTATCCATTTCTTCCATAAACCCAAGTTACTATAAGCAGCTACTCTGAGAATTTAAAATTCCTAGATAATACCAGCAAGGCCTTTTGTTGTGCATTTTCTTTAACCCAGAAGAAATGATTTACTGAGAGCTGTGGGGTAACTAATGCTCTGAAGATTATTTTATTCATTAAAAATGCCACAACACCCTCATCAAAAAGCATGCCAGTAATTGCAATCCAAGCTGCTATCATCTCCCTCTCCTCGTAAAAGAAATCAACTATGTTTTAGATTCTCCTTTATTTCATTGGTTTCCCTCCTAGGTCAAAATCAAGAGATATGGTTAATCCACAAGATCCTAGCAGATTCCAATCTTCTCTGCCCTCTCAGTCACAGGTTTCATGAGGTCAGAAGAAAAATGAGCTGAATTCAACTGTCCTTGGAGCAGCCTGGGGTCTGGGCCAATCATCTGAATCCTTACTTTTCGTATCAGTGTTCAAAGTTAATAAAAATAGAACTTTTCCCCAAAATGCCCATTGTTAAATATACAGTCTCCTGAAAGTGACAAATACAATATCATTATCAAACACTATCACAACTATTCAACCAAATCCCAATTACCCACATGTGAACTCTCCACAAAAGGTGGGCAAGGCCACACTGGCCTTTTGGGTCCTTCTTTCCTCCCCAAAGCTACCTGCTGCCTGGGAATAACAGCTCAATTAACCTTAGACTTGACTAAGCATTAGACCAGTGAGCCAGCTGGCTGGAGGGGAAACTTCTAAGATGAACTGAAATTATTTTTGATGCCAGGATTACATGCCCCCTCTCTATTAGCATGCATAATTGGGAATTTTTTTGTCCAAGACAGGAACAGACTTTCATAAGTAACTGCTTGAATAGGATAGTCAAGATTCTCAGGCCGCTCAAGTGCCTATTTGGAATGCTAAGGTACAAATCCACTTTCTCCATGAGAAGACAAAAACAGAAGTTAATCAACTCACCCAAGTCCATGAAGCAATTTGGCCGTTGGCCCAGGAAGACACTGGAGACCTCCAGGACCTCTCTCCACAAGACAGAACTTCAGAGCCAGAAGGGAGCTCACGGATCCAACCATGCATTTTTAAGACAAAAAATCTGAAGCCCAGAAATGGATAGAAATTGGTACCCTCCCCATTTTTCTTTCTGGTGACAGTTTCCCCCTGCCTTGAGCATCAAACTGTCTTAAAAGTTCTTTTGTCACTTTATAAATACTGTAAACCTGGGCCAACTACCGAATGCAAAACAATTTTAACACTTCCTTCCTAATCAACTTTATGGAGAATCATTATACTTTCCCCAAAACCAATGCTCTGATTATTATGACCAATCCATCCATCAAGAGAGAAGGAAAAGGAAATTATAAATAAGCTTTGTTTTTGTGACCACACATTTTATTACATAAGCAGCAAAGAACACTACACTCAGACTCTTCTTTCCAATTTAAGCTTCTAACTCAACAAAAACCACAAGCCCAAGCGGGTTAAAGGAGGCAAAACTGAGTACTTTCTACACAATTCACAGAACAACTGTTTTCACAGCAAGCTCACATAAACGCTATGTGATATTAACACATGCCTGCTATGTGGAAGCCTGCTTACCAAGCTGTGAAAAGACCCATGTTCACCATGAAACCTGCAAAATTAATCTTCTCAATGCTGATAAAGCATAAGGGACACACTCTTTTTGAGATGTCAAGCTGGCTTCTAACAATCCATTGGCAAAAATGGACATGCCTAAAAGGGCGGGGCCCAAAGAGGTGTGTCACTCTGGGTATCAATTCCTATAAATCAAATCCTGACAATCACCACAATATTTTAAAAAGAATGACTTATGATTCATGGGCCTTCAAACATTTATTACCACAAGAACATTCTCAGTAGAAGAGAAAAAAAGCGACTGTGACTTGATTAATGGCTAAAGCAAGACAATAAAACAAATCTCATAAATATAAGGAAAGAAAACTGAATGAGTAGTCTTGGCTTTGAGGTTGGGCATGTAAATAATTCCACCCAGCAATAAACACACATAAAGATTTTGTTTACCCTCCCACCATATACATTAACTAGACTCAAGATTTTCACTGCATAAAAATAAAGCTAATTTGTTTAACTGATGCCTAGTTAGGAACATTTGATAAGTAGCAATAATTTTATTTCCCAACTAACTCTCAACTGCCAAATATCAAACCCTCAATCTGGAAATCTAATGACAGGAAGGAAGAAAAAAAAAAAAACACTGTTCATCAGTAATGTGTAGAGAGATTTTTTTTTAACCCATTTTTTCCCCTGCTAGAACTGAGCCTGTCTTAAGAATTGGGGAAGGCTAAACCAACTTCAGTTAACCCCACTGAATATCTAACCCTACTGAACATCTCCGGGCTGTATCCCCTAGTGCTAAAATTATCCTGGCAAAGTTAATTTCCCAGCACCATCAAGGTACCTGACAGCGAAGACCTACAACTCTTCTGCAGAAATCAGTGGGCTTTGGGCCAAGAAAACAGAGGCAAGGAAAGGCAAAGACTGCTGGTTAACTAGTTAAGGACTGAGTACTCCTGCTTGTTATCCTTCTAGAGGTCATCAAAGCAACATTTTCTACCACCAAACTCCTTTCTTGAAAGGGTGAATGATGCAGAAGATTGGGACTAATGGAGACAACTTAAAACTCCTTTTCTAAAGCTCGTCTCCATGGCCTGCGGAGAGGTGCACCCACACGGGCTCTCTCTCGGAAGGCATGTTTTAATGAACTCTAGGGCCATGCCTGGACCGGTCATTCCTAAGCATGACTTCCACGCACTTCACAAGACGGCCCCAGGCCACACGGTTAGCAACCTCTACAACACGTTCACTTGCCAAGCAGCTCTCTCTCATCTGGGGAAGAGTTTCCACGAAGCTGGTTCTAACAAGCCGGTAGAAGGCACACAGAGGAACCAGAGGCGTTTTCTTCTAACCCAAGGATGGCAGGCGCACATGCTCCATCCAGCCCAGTGCTGGCCAGAGGCTGCCGGCCAGGTGCTCTCTGCCTTCACCGGTGAATGGGTGGTTTTGTTTTGTTTGTAATATCTGCTTCTTCAGACCACCAGCAGTAACTTCCCGGTCTCCCAAACTGAAGTTGGGGAGTGAAGGGGCAAGTTCCCCCCTTTACACATTTCTAGCATCTGGGTGGCCACACTAACTTCTGGGGAGTACCCAGCCCCCACAGAGCCCGTAGGATCACATACATACACATATGCATCATGTCAAAAACCCCAAAAGGCACATCCCCAGGGTCCTGCGGTTTCTTGGCTGGAAGAATGAAGGCTTTATAACATCACAACCTTCCGTTGCAAGCCCACCACCTTCACCCTTTAAGCCAGGATTGCCAATTATAGCGCCCACCTCACCCCTCCCCCTTTGCTGGGATGCTGTGCAGCCCAGAGAGGGAACAGGGAGGAAGGGAAGCAGGGAGAAGGCCCTGCTTACATACTGAAAGTAAAGGGGCGGCAGGAGACTTGTCCTCTGTTCCTCCACTCTTCCCTTCCCACCCCACCCCCGTCTTCTCACGGAGCATCCCCCAACTAATTTTTTAAAAATGAAACTTAATAAGCCTCTTGCTTACCTTGGCTGTTTCTGCAACAAGTGCATGGGCAATCCGACAGGAAGACCAGTCTCCGCTTGGGGGGTGAGATGGGGGGCTAGCAGAGCTGATGGAGTAATTTCAATATTAATTTATGTCAGCCGCCTTCTCGCAGCGCTACTCACTTACAGTACTGCCCTCAGCCTGTAAACAAATATCGCTCCGCCAGGAAACATACTCCCCAGATGCAAGCCCCTCTCCCTAGCAGGGAACCTGGCCCCTCGCCCCCACCCCCCAGCAAACAGCGTGCTCCCCCACTCCCAGGGGGAAGCTCGGGGTTTCCAAAGCACCAAGCCACCACCTTCGCCACCACCCCAGCAAGAAACTTACTCGGTCCGTCTACGCCTCCACCCTCCCTCCAGGAAATCTACTCTCCATATGCATTCAGCCTCCCCGCAGGAAATCTGCTCCCCCCTCCCCCTTCTATATACATGCACCCCTCCCTCTTCTCCTCCCCACGCGCCCTCCCTGGCCAGAAACTTACTAGCAAGCAAGCGTGCAGGCTCTTCTGATCCTGGAAACTTATTCCCAGATATAGCGCCCGCCAGCCCCCTTTCCCGGCCCTGCTCTCCTTCCTGCCCTCCGCCGCAAGCAACTCCAAACTCTCCGCATCCAGCCACTCTCCCTCCCCGGTGGAAATTTGCAGCGCCGGGCTGCGCGCGTGCATCCACCCTCCCCTTCAGGAAACTTACTCCCCATCTGCATGCACCGCCTCTCAGCCATCGCTTAGAGGGAAGGGGGTGTGCTGGGGAGACAGAAATACATATGTATCTCTCGCCCCTCCCCCGGCCGCAGCCCACTCGGGGCCGAACCGCGGTAACCTGGCCTTACCTTTTGCATTGCTCCCCACCCTCGCCCCCTCCCTTAGCCCTCCTTATCTTCTCCCCAGCACCCCCCTTTTTCACCCATTACCCACCCCTAGCAACCGTTCCCAAGCTCCTCTCGGCCTTTTTTTAAAATCCAGGATGCAAATTCCTCCCCTGTCAGCAAATCGACTGTCAAATTATTTTCTTGCAAAAGGAGAAAGGCGGGGTGGGGTGGGGGGGAGCAGAAGCAAAAAGGGGGGAGGCGGGGGGAGGGAGGGAGAGGGACAGAGGAGGGGAGAGATATCCCTCCGCAGAGCTGGGTCTGGCCGCGGGCGGGGAAGCAGGAAGTAAGGTGTCCAGCGCCGCGGCCGGCGGGTCCTCCGCCGCGGCCCCCGCCCGCGTCCCCTGTCCCCCGGGGCGCCGTGCTTCGGCGGGCGCGGGCCGCCGGGCGCATTGTTCGCAACCTTCTCGGCGGTGCAGTGCTGACTTTATTTGTGCGCTCTGCGTGTACGTGAGGTTGCACCTTTTGTAGGCATGCGAGTCTCTGGACAAGGATGGGACAAGGGCCCAGTTGCGGCCCCGCGCGGGACCTGTCAGTCCCGGGGTGCAGCGGACTCTCCGGCTTAGCCGGAAAATCGAGGCCCGGGAGAAGGCAGCGTGGCCGGGAAGCTGCCGCCTTAGACCCGGACCTGTGCAGGATTGCTTCCTGCGTAGCCGTCCCGGTTATTGTAACGCGCGTTGCAATCTTAACGACTGGGTTAGGGGGTTTTGTTTATTTTTTGTGAGGGTTTGCATAGATGCCAAGGTCTGGGCGGGCTGGGTGTTGACGGTCTGCGCCTTCCCCCACCTCACCCGGGCCTCGGTGGGGCCGGGAGAGGGCCTGGGGCTCCGGGGAAGGGGGCTGGAGGTTCTCGAGGCGCGCGGCTCCATCCCTCCGCCCCGATGGGGGCGGGGAGGGGTGCTGCAGACGGCGCTGGAAATGCAGCTCTCTGGGGAGGGGGCTCCACTCCGCGGCGCAGCAGGCTGGGGGGGAGGTTGCCTAGGAGAGGGGCCGGGGCCGGCAGCGGAGGGGAGGGATCGCAGGGGAGGGGGCGCGGGTGCGGCCGCGGCGCTCGCCCCTCCTCGCGCGCCATGACTGTGGAACGTGGTGCCGGGGAGGAGGGACGGCCGCCGGGGGCCGCCCGGGGCTGCTCGGCATTGGTGCGGAAACCCGAGCCCCGAGTCGCTCCCTCGCGCTGTCTCCTCCTCCTCCTCTGCGGGGGAAACCGCTGCACCCAAACCGAGAGCAGCTGCGAGCAGGGGGCAGGGCGCGAGCTGAAAGGCGAGCCAAGGGTTCAAACCTCGTCGGCCCAGGGCAGGGGGCGAGAGCGAGACCGGGTCCCGCGAAGGGCTGCAGCGGTTAAGTCCAGGTGCCGGGATCCTAGACGGTGACCCAGCATTTCTTTTCTGGTCCTAGGAAACATAAGCCAAAGATAGTTCAGCCAGAGTACCTCGCGCTGGGTTCGAGGTATCGATCTCGCCTAGGGTCCTCAAGACAGCGAGTATTTTTGCACGAGGGAAAGTTACACCATTCTTTTTTCAGTGTGGGGGAATCGTTGCGCCCTTCCCCCAAATCTCGCTCAGGATAAGTCAGCTTCTCCCGCTCTCCATGCCTTCGACACTGTGTCCCCCCCGCCCCACCCCCACTCGGGCTCTGGGTGTGGACAGGGCGGGGGAAGGCTATATGGGAGCTTAAAGCATGAGGTCATGGGCGGAGGAGGCTGAGGCCAAAAGCAGCCGAGGTTTTTGTGTTTTTTGAGGGGTAACGGTTCTCCATCTTCAGCAGTGGGAAGTCTTCCTGCCTAATACTACCAATTCTAAGGCACCTGGTCTAGAGAGTCCCCGAAAGAAGAGGGGGCTCTGCTCTGTGTCGTTTAATCAGCATCTGGTCGGTACCCAGCCCTTTATGGAGACATTACACATAAGCAAAGAAAGCTGAGGGACAGCGCACAGTGTCGCCTGGACTGGGAAAGCTTCAGATGCCCGAACCCCTCTTTCCCCAGTCTTTGGTCATATTCCAGCTGGACTGCTTGCTGCGACAGCTTCCTGGTCCCTCCGACAATTCTTTCCAAGCGACTAGAGTCTTTCTAACACTCTTGATTACACTCCTTTAAACCCAGCAAGCCCCTCCCCACTGCTCTTAGAATAAAGCACGTCCCGAAGCCCCTGCGTGTTTCGCCTCTGCAGACCTCTCCACAGCTCTTCCTCGTTCACAGTATGCCCCGTCATGCTTTCTTTGTTCGAAGGGTGGGGTATCCTTACCCCCGCCCCTGCCACCTCTTGCTAACTCCTGCTAGATCTTCACGGTATGGCTCAACAATCATGACCTCCAAGAAGCCTTCCTGAGAGTATGCACGCTCACCTCTAACTCCCTTAGGGTGAAAAAGACCTACCCTAGACTTCCAGGCAGCCGGGCTGTCGCCAGAGCTGTCTCCAGTGGCGGCCCTTTTCCAAGCAGAGGAGCAACAGCCAAGCTTGAGCACCACCACCCAGAGGCCTGACCTCCTGAGAGGGAGTTGGCTGGGACAGAAAGAGCCTCGAGACGCCCTGTTTCCTCAAGACACCTGGGAAAAGCACGCACCACCCAGAAACCTCAGCCCCTCCACCTCTTACCCCAGCACACACCCACACAAGCTAATTCGAGGAGAGGTCTTTTAATCTAAAGCTCCTCCCTGGGGCAGATAAGGAACCTGAGACTCAAGAGAGTAAGTAAATTGCCCAGGGTGAATGCAGAAATTTACATCCTGGTCTTTAGAGTCCCTAAACCTGAAGTTGCAGAGGATTTAAGATTTGGTTCTGGTTCTAAGGCCAAAAACACTTTACCACCTTCAAAGCCAACCCCTCTGAGTTTATTGCCAAAAGAGAGGCAGTATGCCAGATGATTAGCCATGCAGGCAGGCTCTGACCTTGAGCTAGTTACTTAACCTCACTTGGTTTAGTTTCTTTGCCTGTAAAATGGGAATGATGGTACCTATAGTGTAGCATTATTGTAAGGTTTAAATGAATGATATTTTACAGTTACCTAGGCATTTTTGTTGTTGTTGTTGTTAGTGGAGTTATGTGCCCTCTTCCCCTCCCCAAGCACTCTAGAAAATTAGGTCCTGAGTCTTAAATGATTTAAGCAAAAATTATCTAGGACCTAAAACACTGGGAAAGCATGGGCAGATACACAGAGTATAAACAAAGACCTATAATTTAGTCAATAAAATCCATGGTCAACTCTTGAAGGCAATCCATAGAGCGAGTAATCCAAATCCATGAAGATTTTAGAATTAGTGTTAGAGGAGGGATGACTGATATTAAAATATTATCTCGGATCTTTGAAATCAAAGTCAGCCTGCAGTAGTCCCCATCCTGATGCAAAATCTGCCCTGTGTGAATGAGAACCTCCCCAGGCTGCACAAAAGGGGAGGGGATTATCATTATTGTCATTAGATCTTAATTTTCTCATTCTTGGCACTCACCCCCCATGATAAAAGACTTTTTAAATGTAATCCTTTAAAAAAAAAAAAAAGGCTTAATGCCTATTTTTTAAAATAAAACAGCAAGAAGTCTTCCTTCCACCTTAACTACCATTCATCCTGTTCTCATTCTGTGGAGACAACCAAGGTTAGCAGTCAAAAGACATGTTTAACTGTTTTCCAGATGAGGCTTACTAAAAGATTATGTCCAAAGGTCTTTTCTCCATCATAGTCAGAACCATCATCCTACTCCTGTCCCACCCCTATCCTTCTCACCCTTTCAGCCTCAACCCTAAACAGGTTCTATTAACAATGATAAACCACCTGATTAATGACAAAAGCAAATGATTAAGTGCTTTATGGTTCTTTCTCCTCCTCTACACTAATAATCACTAACAATCACTAACATTTATTGATAACTTTGTATGTTGCAGGCACTGTGCTAAATACTAGATGTGCATTATCTTGTTTAATTTGCCCCATATCATCACTGTTATTCTTACTTTACAAATACAGACAGAAATGGAGGCTCAGAACCAGACGTGGTAGTATACACTTATAATCCTAGCTATTCAGTAGGCTGAGGTAAGAGGATTGTGAGTTTGAGGCCAGTCTGGGCAACTTAGGGAAACCCTATCTCAAATTTTTAAAAGCATAAAGAAGGACTGGGGGCTGGGATTGTGGTTCAGTGGTAGAGCATTCGCCTAGCATGTGCGGGGCCCTGGGTTCCATTCTCAGCACCACATAAAAATAAATGAATGGAATAAAGGTATTGTGTCCAACTACAACTAAAAAAATAATTTTTTTTTTTTTTTTTTAAAAAGAAGGACTGGGATTGTAGCTCAGTAGCAGAGTGTTTGCCCAGCATGTTCAAGGCCCTGGGTTCAATCCCCAAAACTACAAAAAAGGAAAGAAAAAAAAAATAGATGATCAGAAAGATTACATAACTTGTACCAATTTACAACTAGATCACCCTAAACCCAAGTCCTCTCTCTTAAATACTCCTCTCTGCAACACAGGAAAAAGTCTAGTAGGCTGCAACAAAAGGAGTGCTACTTGCAAATCAAGTAGACTAAAAATCAGATGCAATGAATGAAATTCTCAACTCTGCGCTTACCAGTTGTGCCCCAGCTGTCCAGAACTGTGATTCTGAGTTCCTTCATTTGTAGCTTGGATAACACTCTCTGGCGCCTCTCACTTTTCAGACTGTCCAGAATCCTTGACTTTTCCAAGAGAGGGACCTTTCTGAGACCACACTGCTTATTTGCCTATCTCGGGAACAGATCAGAACTCAATGGAAATGGAAATGTATCCAATTCACAGCCAAAGGAAATGTTTTAGGCCCAGTGAGCATTTGGGTATTGTTTTAGGGGTAGTTTTTCCTGTCCTCTAGATTCAAACAGCTGGAGTTATTTTTATATATGACCCCAATTTGAAATGCAAGTTTATCCTTTTTGAAATACAATTTGCTTGGAGGAGGGGGCGATACATATATGGTGTGTGTGTGAGACAGAGAAAGATAAAGACACAGAGACAGAGAGATGTGGTGCTGGGAATGGAACCCAGGGCCTCACACATGCTAGACCAGCACACTACCACTGAGCTACACCTAGCCCTGGCCCCTATAATGCT